TCCCTACACGACGCTCTTCCGATCTCCCCAAAACCCCAAAACCCCATGAATCAAAGATATGAAAATCGATTGATAATTTTGAGCGTATGTAGCAATATTAAATAAAGAGATGTGATGGTTGACATATATATAAATATAAAAATTTAGAGAAGAGTGTTGAGGAAATTAAGGTGAGTGACTTGCAAACACACATAAGAGCGAGAAAGAGCTGCTGCTCACTTCTTCTTGGTGACTCCGAGGGTTCTTCCGGTTCTTCCAGTTGACTTAGTCTTTTGACCTCTGACCTTGTGTCCCCAGAAGTGTCTGAGACCTCTGTTACATCTGATCTTTTTCATTCTTTCCAAATCCTCTCTGAGCTTGGTGTCCAAGGCGTTGGAGATCAATTGAGTCCAGTTACCGTCTCTGATATCTCTTTGTCTGTTCAAGAACCATTTGGGAATGTTATAGTCTACAAAAAAAGGTAAGGAAATTGAACTGAGACTCTATCGTCGTAGAACTTTTACTTACCAGTTGGCTTGGCGAGGATATCATTGACCTTTTCAATCTCTTGTTCGGTTAATTCTCCTGCTCTATGAAAAGTTGTTAAAAATCAAGTTTGGGAACGAAATGGGGGGCGCTTACCTCTTGTTGAGGTCGATTTGAGCGATTTTGCAGATGAGGTTGGAGAATCTTCTTCCGACTCCCTTGATAACTCTGAGAGCGAACATGACCTTGCGTTTACCTTCGACGTTTGTGTTTTGGATTCTCAAAATGTGAGTGAACTCGTTTGCCTTAGCCAATACGATAGATGATGCCTAAATTGGAACCGATTAGGAACTGGAGAGCAAGAAGAAATTTAAGGGCTTACCATATTGCTGCTTGCTTTAGATCTTTTATTAAATAATAATAATCACCTACCCTCATTTATATATAATAGAATTAATTCTTAAGCATAATTAAGTTTAAAATTATCAATATCGTTTGCAAAGTGTGAATCACCCACAAGAACATTAAAGCACTTTAAATATCTATTGATGCTATTGTTAATGCTCTTGCTAATCACTGTTTAATTTAAGATTTGATATCTATTTTCTTCTTTGGCTCAGCACTAGCGCCTTTCTTACCGCCCTTCTTAGAATCATCATATTCTCCTTCAATCTGCTACATTAAAGTTTCCATTCCAGCCTCTTTTCCTGTTTTCTTTTTGCCTAATTCTTTTTCTGTTTCTAAGGGAGTCTTTTTAGAAGTTCCTTTAGTCTTTTACTGCTTCAATTCCTCACCTTTTCCTTTCTTTTCTACTTATTGATTACCTTTTTTGATAAGTTGCCTATTAGTAGATTGGTCAAGATCCTATTCGATTGAATTTTCAAAGATACTCAAATCCTAACCTTTTCCTCTACCCATACCTTTGATACCGATTTCACTGCTAGCTATTACTGAGTTTTGGTTATTTATATTTGTAGCATCCATTACATTCCTGTCTACCCTATTGTCCTATCTTGATTAAATGTTATTGTTATCAAACATCTTATCTATTTCTTCAATTAGAGCTTGGTTTTGTCTGTTCTCGGGATTATCAGATGAAGCTCCATAACTGATGCCATATAAATTCTGATCTGCAACAGAATCTTTCATCTAAGAGGACCTTCCCTCAAACGATGACTAATGCCAGTCATCTCCTAGATTATCCTGACCTCCATTATCGTTTTTCTTTCTAAGTTGAGGTTTATTTTGTCTATTCGCTCTTAGACTCTTTTTCTGCAGTTCCTTTAAATAATCTTTCAAGTCAATCAAATTCTAATTTAAACTTTATTTACTATTTATGAATTTTAGTAACTTACAGATTTAGATCCTTGAAGATTACTGAGTTTAGCTTGATTTTTTACTTCAAGGATATCCTCAAATAGGTCCCTCTCTTGTAATGACTTCATTTAATCTATCACTAACCTGGTCAGCTTTGGCTTCTGGCGAACATTTTCAGCTCCTCCACCATTATCATCATCATCCTGATCCTCCACGCTTCCCTCATTGCTTTCTTTTTCACTATCATCCCCATTTTTCTTTTTCTTGTGCTTGATATCATCATCGTCATCATCATACATGTCATCTTTCTTCTCATCTTCTCTCCTCTAATCAGTTATACTTCCTTTCAAGTCTTTCCCAATGAAATCATTTACGGCACCATCTTCATCGTAGTGCATACTCTATTCAAACTCTCTAACTTAATCAGTTGTTAAGTTAGAGCTCTAATCCCCTGCTATCCCTCCTCCGACTCCTTTAACTTCAACAGCTGCGATTAATGAAGTGTTTTCTTCATCGTTGATTGCTTTAACTGTTTTTGGGTTTAGTACCGTATTATTGTAAAACTTGTACGAATAGTCGTCAAAAGCCATTGATCCTTTTGAGAAAGGATTGAATTCATAATCTCCTGCAGATCACTTAAGTAAACCTTTGAATAACTTTTGAGTAATGTTTAACGAATCACTCAGAAGCTTTCTGAAGTCTTTTGCTTTGATTATACGCATATCCTCATCATTCGCATCAATAGCAGTTTTTATATTCGGATCTCGAGGACAATCCTATGCTCTGTGGCCTTTCTCCTTGCAGCAATAACATCTAGCATATTTATTCTTTAAAGCTGCATCCGTCTCTTCTTGTTACTCCAAATCTTCATCCTCATCTTCTTTTGATACGTGCTTAGAAAATTTACAGCCTGGAGCATCTTTTGTTGTTTTACCACAGCACCACCACATTTCTCCTCCAAATTCAGACTATTAAAAAGTTAATAAATTAGTGTAATCATACTCTGTGAGTTCTACAAGACCAATTGAAGTTCTCCTTCTCTAGATACTCTTTACCGCACTATTTACATATCTTCTAGTTGATGTTGAAATTTCTTCTGTTCTTTAGCTTTTGAATTCTTTATCTCATTTTATCTCTTTCATTCTATAATGCTTTTACCTATTTATCCAATTTCAAGAATTCATCTTGCCATTTATTGGCTTCCAGTTATGCTGTTTTTGATTCTGAGTCCAGTTAATTCATTCTTTCCTTAAGAACTGCCATCAGTTTTTCTTTATCTTCCTAATTTTTCTTCAGAGTTTTAACTACATCTCTAACTTCTCCTCTATATTTATCACGCTCAACTATAGCCTAGGGAAAAGATTAATTAATAAATAAGACATACTGTTTAAAGCTCAGAGTTGTTAATTTCCTTCTCAAACATTAGATCATCATAGCCTTTTCTAATCTGATCCAATTCGACTTATTTCTTATCAGCATGCTTTTTTCCTTCTCCCAAGAAACTAATAGCATCATAAAGTCTTTTAAGCTGATCACCCATAATATCTGATTCCATTTTCATTAGGCTATTTTGATACTTTAGATCAATGATTTGATTCTTTAATTTTTCATTCTTTACTTTTTCATTTTGTAACTGTTCACTAAAAATTTTACGATTACTTTCATTAATGAGCAAAAGACTCTGCTACTGCTTACTCTATTCCTAGAGTTTTTTTAATTAGATTTCTAGATTTATCTTTTATTTTTCTAGAGATGAAATGAAGCCCTTGCTAAGTTTTAGCTTGTATTTGTTCTTGCTATACTTTACTTCAGTAACCACTAACTTTTTCTCCAAATTTTAATAAAGAATCTCCAGCTATTCGATTCTCTCTTTGAGGCTTTCTTTATCTTTTCTAACTTGAATCATCTCAAGAGAGAGCTTTTCACTTAACTTCAATTCACCATAGACTGTATTTGATTTATCACCTTCATCTCCTTCCTTCTAAAACTTTCTAGGGCTAGCAGGAGAATTTAACTCACCTTATCTTTTTTCTCTAGTAATTTTTCTACTGTCCTTTTCAAACATTGGTAAAAGATAATTTCTAACAACTTAAGCAGCTATTTCTGGAGTAATCTGATCAATATCAATGTGGTTATTTTCGTGATATTTACTATGTCTTTGATCTGTAGATTTTCCTCGTTGGGAATTCCCTCCACTGTTGACTTTATACTTATTTTTACGATTTGATTTCACTTGATTGCTGTTGTTACTTTATACAGTTGAACCAATATTTGAAAACATTTAATTCAGAGGCAGATTTCTAGGATTATTAGAATTCATTGATCCAATTTAAGTAAAATTATAGAAACTTTCTTCATTTTATCTCGGTGAAAGTTTATCAATGTTCTAAAGAATTCTATATGTACTTATATCATTTCCAGAACTCATCTAATTTTGATGCTAATGTAGGTTTGGTCCACTATTAATCATAGTTGGTGCTATGTTAGTTGATACATCATCAATTTATTCAGACATTATATCACTAGCATTGACATTCATCATAGAACTCAGTTTATTGTTCTTTGCATTACTATTTTGATGCATTATTGGCTGAGTTAAAGTTGATTAGTTGTTTCTTTGTGTGAATTGCTTTGAACTTAATTCAAACTTTTTATTCATCTAATTCTTGAAAAGCTGATTATTAGCATCAGTAGTGTTGCTGTTATCACCACCTGTACCAGTATTCATATTCTTTACTCCACTAAAACTGTCTGCTCTTATTTAACTTCCACCTCCTCCACCTCTACTTTTCTTCCCTCTCTTTCTACTTTTCTTTTATTTTCTTTCATCCTCCTTTGAATCCTGTAATGGAGTCAATTATGGCTAGATTTGGAAACTTGAAGGTTGCCTTGGTGATAGCTAATTTTATTAACCATTTCTAGGGGATACAATATTCTTCTAATCAAAGTTCCCATTGATATCAGATGGTGATAGATTGTTAAGTAAATTAGGATTTGAAAATTAGTCCTAATTTGAAAAGACATCATTTGAGAGTGTGTTTGTCTGCATAAAATCAGATTATTTTGTTTTTTCTGTCATTTCTAAACTTATAAATTTCTTACTATTCTGAATATATTTTCGAAAATATATGAACTAAGGGGTTTTGGGGTTTTGGGGTTTTGGGG